ACTATTTTTTATTGGAATAGGGCTTTACACCACTTCCTCAACACCCAACATCTTTAAGGCAAGAACTCTCACTCCCCCCCCCCCCCCCCCTCCCCCTTTACGAAATTTGTATAGGAAATATATACATTTAACAGTGTCCGTCCCCCCTCCAGAAAATTTAGTCCGCCTCCCCCCCCCCCCCTAAAATTTCAAGTGCCCCCCCCCCTCCCAGGAGAAAAAAAAGTCTGAAAGAAACACTGCCTAACATTTCCATGGAGATCATGGCGGTCACCTTTTAAAATCGCAACATTCGCGTGCTGTCAGTACCTAGCGAAACCTTCTGGGTCAGCTATTAAAAATTTTAAAAAGCTTCAAACATTTTTTTTCCTCCGCGACGCGCGAAATTTTCACTCTGGAATGTTTTTTTTAAGCTTAAGAGCTGGCGTCCAAACTGTTTTGTCCCTGGTCCAATTAATCTCAAACGTCCAGTCTGCATTAAGGAATGTCAGGCGAAAGACATTCCTGACAAACGTTCGGTACTGCACGGGATATAGAGAAGAAAAAAACAAGGCAACATTTTCATTAATAATTTTAAATGCGAATTGATTTATTTTTCAAATAAACCGTGTAAAGCATAGACCTTGGCCTAACTGTTCAAATGACACCAAAAAAATCTAAACAAATCTATTAACATAAGCTAATTACATTTATATGGCGAGATGAATATATATCTAAATTTAGGCCAACAAAAGGGGAAAAAAGGTCGTGAATTGAGTTTAAATCGAACTTTCCATTACCGTTTGTAATTTGCTGTGACGTCACGCCAAGCGGCTCGCGCTGCTCTACATTAAAAGCTCTACTGGGATAATCTCCCCTTTAAAAGACGAAAATACCAAACAACATGACGTCACGCACGCGCCCCGGCAAGTTTAATAAACAAAGTCACTTCTCGCGTAGACTTACACCAGCATCACAAGCGGGAGACGAAATAAAAACCTTTCTCTCTTTCCTTCACAGGTCCTAGGGATGACATTTGCAATTTGTCTATGTCGACGGATCAAAGACGAGTTTTTATTTGACTAACAAGTTAAATGTTTTTTTTTTTCAAACGCTCATCCAAACACCACTTGATTTATCCTCCAAACATTGTAACCCAACCCCTGACCCACCCCGAACAATAACCCTTATCTTTGATTATTTATTCTTTTTTTAATTTTTTATTTTAACGTGATTGATTGTGTTGGTGTGAAATCTTGATGGTGAATGTACAACTTGAGATGTAAAATGACGTGATTATTTTTAAACTGCTAGGGCTGTGTTTTCATCTCTTTTTTTTTATTGATTTACATCTAGATCTAATAGTTGGCGATTGATGTAGTTCAAAATGTACCGACTGTTCAAGTTGTTTAATGTGTGTTCATGAATTTATTTAAAAAAAAAACAACAACATATTATGCTGTTTCTGTGTATATTGTCAAATTTAAATTTTTACTGACCTAGTGGCCTATTTTCTTCATACACATATATACATACATACACAAACATATATATATATATATATATATATATATATATATATATATATATATATATATATATATAATCTTAAGAGTAGCCACTGAGTCTAAATTGATTCCACATCTAGTTATACTTGCTGTGGGGCTTAAATAATTAATAGCTTAATTGATAGTTAGGCTACGTTTAGGATTTTCAAGTCTTTAAAAATGAGGTACACAAAATACAAATAGGCCTACTATTGCGATGTCTTTTGTTTTGTTTTTAATTAACAAACAAAAATTTTCAGCTATGTGATCTGGGTTTAGGGGCTCCTACAGAGATTCTTTGAAAATTGGCGGTGATCATTACAAAATTTGAAATGTGCCTATTACACTATACCTGTAAATACTCATTTCGTGTTTCTTTGTCGTGATGGGGAATGTACATTTTACGTGTCTACAGCTTTAATTATACTGATGAAGCACACTCGCTAGTGGTGTTCTCTGTGCTAACTGTAGTCTTACTTCCATGTGGGCCCGCCTCTACTGTGTTTAAAAATGGACGGCTCCGGTGAGCGGTATCCATTTACCTGGCTGTGACGTCATATCCTGCTTAACGTCATGTTTCAGGAAAAGTGATGGGTAGGATTGTTGTAAAACCACGCGATTCTTTAAAAAAAATTCAAATTATTTTTTTTAAAGGTTATGGTTAGGCTCACGATGTGATTTGTGTAGTATTTCATGGCTAGTTGCTAGTGTTTTCATGAAGTTTGTGGCGTAGCAAATGGGAAACGGTTTTAGGTACCATTTTTGTTTTACATGAATCAACATTCGCCTAGATCTAAGTAAATTATGGAGTCGCAAAATGCAGTCTCTATGCTACGAGTACCATGAGTTTTAATTAAACGAGATGGACTAAGCTTATGTGATACTAAAAATTATGTGATAAAACATCTCTTAAGAACGAAAAGTGATTTTTTTTTAAGGGGAGCTAACTCCGTAAAAAAATAAATAAAAATAAACAACTTTTTTTCCTTTTTTTTTTAACTGTTGGCTATCATTTGGAAGAAATAGAAATTGTATATCTTATTTAAGTTTGTCTTATTCCGTGTTAGTTGAGAGTAGACATTTATTTTTTACATTAACCTGTACATTCTAGATCTATATGTATGTAAATAGGCATCTATTTTTAATTACCATACCAATTAGTGTACTTGGAACAAAAATCAGTATCAATCTTTGGCAGTAAAAATGTGCTACACAACTAGATGGTTTATTGTGTACATTGTATTTATACATATGATAGTAGAGATCTCTAATATGTAGTTTGTGTATGTATTTCATGTATTTTTTTATTTGCTTATGATTGTGTCATTTAACATACAGCTGCTGTTAAATTTTATAATGTTATGTATTTCGTAGAGGTTCTTTGGGAAGATATAATCATTAAATTTATATATGATTGAATCTCCTTCAAAATTTATAATAGGAAATCTGTATATTTTAAGACATAATTTATATATGAAAGTAAGGCCAGAATTTATGACTATTTATACATTTAAAGGCAAAAATCATTTATAAATTATAAAACAGACTTTTAAAATAAATTTAAAAACAATGTATTATAAACTTATGAGAAGAATCTAGTTTAAAATGTATACTTGTATGTCCATGTTGTGAAGATTCATACCAGGGGCTGCAACTCCTGTAAAACAAGTGGCCCTTGTGTAGAAGTAGGGGGTGTATAAAAATAAACCAAAGCTCAGATCGCATGATTAAGAAGAATTTTTCAAAGGTGACCACTGTAAGGTTTTCAACACATGGTTATACAATAGTCAAATATAAGGCTGCAATTTACTACAGAACAGAACAAATTAGTTAATTTGGTTCTGATCTCAAACGCCTACTTAATCAATGGAAAATTATCACATTTAATGGCAATCATTCAAAGCATCAGAGTTTTTCTTCCCAGAACATGAATGCTAATCTAAAAATCATGAGCTTTGTATCAAGTCTTTAAAATATTACAGTCAATTTCTGATGAGCAAAGACAGCAGAATAAACTGCTGATATCTTCATATTATGAGATCACAGAGAAAGTCAACTCTATCTTATCTGAGGTTTATAAAGTCTGAAAAGGACTTTTGGTATTTATTGACTTCTCAGAGATGGGAGCACTATGAGACAACCTAGATAGTAAACTTCTACCTATCAACATCATGATCACACCCACCCATTTAAGATTTAACACAAGAATTGACATTTTCTTGAATCTTTAATACATGTCTTCAATAATAATTTTAAGTTAAAAGTTTTTTTTTAAAAAGGCTCAAAGATAAAAGAATAATGTGAATTTCTGTTTTCAACAAGCTCAAATGTGAAACGGTATTCACATTATTTCTTTATTTTTCCGCCTGATCTTTTAATATAAACTAATTTTTGTGTATCAATGCCATGTATACAGCATGTCAGATCAAATTAATTACAATTAAATTAAGGAGACTAATTAACATTTATCGGCTTCGCTGTTAAAAAAAATGTCGAATTTAATACTTTGACATTCTAAGAAATTATTATTTTGTAAATTGAACATACTGATCTGTCCACTGTAACCTTCCACCACAATACAGAACACAGGTCTCATATCTATTGTCATTTCTTCATTCACTTTCTAATGTAAACTTGCAAGTGATTCCTTAAGCAGAGAATCATGTACACATTTTATAACAAATAAGAAAAGAAATATTTTTTAAATCTCTATTTTCATGTTAAATATATTTATACAGATACTAATTTAAGAAATTTTTTTTGTTGAATATTGTTTAAATTATAATGGAAAATTTATTTAAAAAATAAGTCATTTCTTAAATGTTAAACACCATAATTTAAAAAAAAAAATGATGTAGACTATGAGTAGGTTGTGTCCCATCCCATAGCTGTGAATGAATGAATCCTTTCATGACATCACAAAAACTTGGATAGCAAAAGATTTCACCATTAGTTGTGAGAACACTGTGTGTGTCCATGCAGCCTAAATATAGTGTAGACAACTCTAGCAAAAGAAATGTGTGCTGTTATTGCTCTTGTCCAGTTTAGAGGTGAAAGGCTCTAAAAATCAAAATACTGTAACAAACTTAGATTGATGTGTGCTTTAATTTTATCTTTTTTTTTTGGACTGTAGATGGAATTCACTGGCAAAGGCTAAACAACTTGTACCAGGTTATTTAGATTTGTGTGAGTGAATTAAACTATTCAACATGATTACTTTGTTTTGGTTTTTAATTCATTGCTATAGGCTTAAGGGATGAAAAAAAAAAAGGAAAAACATTAAGTGAAGCAAGTTTTGCTGCAACTACAAGTTTAAAAATGGCTTATACTTATAATATATGTATATATTCTTGCTTTGATAAAACAAATCAATAACACTAACTTTGAAAAAAAATTAACAAGTAAACAAAGGAAAAAAGTATTTAAAAGACAAAGTTGTCAGTGAATTATTAGTTTTAATATTCTAATATTCTAAATTGATAATTATGTACATCATAATTAACTTTTCTAATTGTTGACTATAGAAAATTTTATGACAGCAAAGGAGTAGCTTAACAAATTAAGAAAATGATTAAGACATAGGTAATATGCTGTTTTTCTGCATATAGAAGATTAATATTTTAAAAAACAACACTTATCTGGAATATTTGAAGAAAATCATGTATGTTAACAGCCTGTTACAAGTTAATTTTTTTCAACAATAGTTTTACCAACAGGAGGAATTCATTATTTACAATTAATGAGAAATTACATGATTCTTTACTAAAATAATCGCTTTGAGAAATACATTACCAATTGTGGTTTTATTTTTAAATGTTTCAATGTCTTAAGTAGATACCTATTACAGCTAAATTTTATAAAGCTAAATGGCTTTAACAATGAACATCGGTTGGTATTTTAAAAATAAATATACAGTAGATATAAAAGATCACAGACTTATAGATGTTGCGCTAGTAAAGTGAAAATAAAGGTTGGAAAGAGCTATCGCTATCAAAAGTAATAAGAAAGCAATATTTGCTGAATTATACTAATAAAATACAGGTGATATATATAATAGAGCACAGAATACAATTTAAAATGGTATTAAAAATAATGATGAATCTTCAAGAACTATAATTTAAATAAACTATAAACGAAAAAAAAAACAATAACAATTAATAAATACGAATAGTTAAAAAATTAAACCTCTGATAAACACACATCTCAGATTAAATATTGTAGCTGCATTGAAAACTACTTGAGGTAACTAAAAATTAAAAGAAAGAAGCATTTTTGAAACAGCTAAACAAATGGTTTTACATATTGGAAGATACATTTGGAAAATAACAATTTTGTAGTAAGCAGGCGCAAATAAAATTCTAGTTCACAGTACTTTGCCATTGGTTTGATGAAAAACTGCTAAAAACCACTTTACAGGAATTAAGATGGAATCAACTATAAAATTATGAGGCTCCCTCTTGACCTGAGCGAGACCTCTTGGTACAGAAGTGAGCCATGTCATCAGTTGGTATAGGGTTTTTCTTGACAGGTGACCACATGGACTGGCGTCTGGGTGCCACATCTGGTGTATTTTGCACTAGAGCTTTTTTTGGCTGGAGAAAGTTAATATATGTTAATCGGACGATCGGTGATACAAGTTGTTAAATACAAGAATTTTCAAGCTGTTTTAATTAATTTTTAATAACCAATTACCTATCAAAGAATAGGATTGTTATACATTGTAAATTGATCTAAATATGTTTATTATTCCACTAATATCAATATAGCAACATGTTAACAAAAGTAAAACCTAAAATAAACAGGATTCCTCTAGAGCCAAGATGTACCCAGAAAGCAAAAAGTAAGTTGAATATTTGTATTAATAACTTGAAAATGATGGCGTCGGAATTATACGCAATACATCATCACAAAAAATACTTAAGAATTTATTTGTTGAAAAGTTCAATTTAAATAAAAGCTAATTTTCAAATTGGATAAATATTATGAATGTAAATAAGCGTAACAAGAAACACTTCATAAATGTAAATATAATATATTTATATATATACATATATATAAAACATTTTCCAAAAGAAAAATTGCATTCCTACCTTAAACGCTTCTGAATCATCCCCACTACCCTGAAATTTTGTATAAGCAAAAAGCAAATAGTAGAATATGGGAAATTAAAAAGCAAGGCTAGAGTTACAATTAGTAGCTTCATTTAGATCATTACATAATACCTGTGCACATGCAAACAGACGAATTAAAATACTTGGTTAAATGCCAAAAGGACTTTAATATACATAAATAATTATCACATTATATTGAACATCCATATTTTAAGCTTAGAAGTCTCAGATTTTTTTAATTATTTCAGAATACAAGGTGTTTAAGTTTAAGTTATCAGTTACAATTTAAGCTTAGATTCAGTAATTTGTAACTTGATAAAAAATAAAATTGTGAGAAAAGAAGTCTTTATTAAATATGAAATCACATGAATGACTTAATATGAATATAGAGGATATGGCTTTTATAAAGGAAGTTGGAAATTTTATATCTAAGAATAAAATAATAGATACAAAGGGATTTTCAAGATTAGTAGAGAAGGGGAAGTGTCCAAAATACCAGTACAAGTTTGTTAGAGAAAGAAATGTCCTTACCCTAATGCCAGAAAATGGAGATTCAAACGAAGGTTTGCGCAGAGAGGAACAACTGGAAGTGGACCCAGAGCTGGAGTGGCTGTGTAAATAATGTGTTCATTAACGTTAATATCAACAATTGAAATTTTCATTAACTACTGCAACAAAGGCATCGAATGATTGAAAGGGTAGAAATTTGTAAAAAAAAAAAAATATTCTTGCCTGGAATTACGAAATATTCTTGTTGGTGTAGGTATAGATGTTTTCTTCCCATTCTTTGTATTGGCACTGTCACTAAAAATTGTCAATTAAAATAAACAATTAAAGAAATTATATTTCAAACAAAGTATATAAAAAAGGATCAAAACCAAAAAGTATCGTAAAATACTGGGTCTTAAAAACTGATATGTCAAAAATCAAAAATTTTTTCTAAAAACTCAAGTAAAAAATATATTAGCAAACCTGACAGCTGAGTTATAAAAAGCAGCAGATAGTCGCTTTGGTATTAAAAATTTGTCCATTTTTAAAGGTGTATCACCAGCAAAAGGAGCATCTTTAAAAGCATCATCTGATGCTGAAAAAAAATGTAATGATACTGCTTACATAGGGTAACTGATGTGCAGAATTGTTAGGTATGTAATATCTTGATCAAGAATCCTAAATTTGTTTGCCAGCTCAAGTTCAGAGGACCTCCTTAAGTTAATCCATTAGGTAATTCAGGACAATAACAACAAACTGGTTGTGCTGCTGACTCCATCACTACACAAGATTACTTTAATGTAGCAAGTGTTAACTTTAGCCTTTAGCGTTAGATATGGGGACTGCATGCTCATGGTATAGAGCACATGCACACAATTCTCGAGTACAATTTAAGGGCTTATGTTTGTAAAATTCTCTACCACCCTGCTCATATAAGGATTCTTCTGGAGCCCAGAAAAGTAAAGCATTTAGGGCATAGAGTTGGGCACACTATCCCTGCATATTCAGGAAAGCAGATGAACTCTACTTCATCTGTTCATGGACTGTCTGGTATCAAAAGCTACATTTTTAAGAATAAACCCATTTTGAAAATATATATCATTATATTGCCTTTGAGGTTGTTTAATAAAGCTGTTTTAATTTTTCAAGAAATACACTTACAAATATCGACAGTCCTTGAGAGCGCTGTGTCTTCTTTAGTAACAGTTCTGGAAAGTGCTGTGGACTCATCTTTGGTAACAGTCCTAGAGCCGTCTGTGGGGAAAATAGCTTTTACAGGCGCCGGTCCTTTCTTTGGAGTTTCTATCTTTTTAGTGCACTCACTGGGAGCAGCTATTTTCTTCACATCTCTACACGAATCTTTTGTGTTTCCTTTCAGCCCATTCATAAGCAGAGAAGGTTTGCTGAACGTTTTGGGCATGTTTGGCAACTGCTTGACAGCCGTGGCACCATTCATGGACAATCTTTTGGATAACTTACTTGCATTTGAGCTCTCTGAGACCTCTGCTGGACCCAAGGATAACTTTTTGAAGCTCTTTATGACAGCTTTTGGTTTCTCGTTTGAAAACTCTGATGGGTTGGTGTGATTTTCTGGGATCTTAGCCAACATTTTGAGCGGGGGTTTCAGTTCCCTTGAATGCTGAGGGGGCTTTAGTTCCCTTGGCTGTTGTGGAGGTTTCAGTTCCCTTGGCTGTTGAGGGGGTTTAAGTTCTTTAGGCTGTTGAGGGGGTTTAAGTTCTTTAGGCTGTTGAGGGGGTTTAAGTTCTCTTGGCTGTTGGGGAGGCTGGAGCTCTTTAGCCTCAAGAGGTGGTTTGCTTGTAGGTGGTTTCAGTTGACTATCCCTACGAACAAGCTTGGAAACCCGAGGTTGGGGTTTAGTAACTGTTCTGGAGAGCCCGGCATCGCCAGCTTTAAGTGTATCATCATTTAAAACTGGCTGGCCTGGAAAATTTAAAAATTTCAGTGCAAAATCTTTTTAAAATTGAAAAAAAAAAAAAATTTAAATTTATACCTGCAAGCTGTGATTTTGCACCGGATGAACCTATTGACTGTCTTTTGAGCAGCGGTTTAGTCTCACTGGGCTTGGCTATGGAAGATTTAGTCACTGGTACTTTCAACTGAAGACCCGTGCTTCGTCGCTGCTCTATCTATGTGACAATTTAAAAAATTTGCACCACAGATTTCTTAATTTATAATGCATTATTTAAAAAAAAAAAATAATATTACGTTTTAGTTTTAAGAAATTGAGTAACCTAAGCATCAATGAAAATTAACCAAATGGATGTTGTTTCACCTAAGTAATATGGTTAGTCTCTTAAATCGACTGAGTCAAATGTTCAACAAAAAATTAATAACTAAAACAAAAAAGACTTACTTTATTTGCTGGTTTATTATGAACTGTTGACAGTGACAGCCTTCCTTGTTTTGGCTGCAGAGTCTGTTTAGTAACAGTGCCTGGTGGTTTTAAGTTATCACCTGAATTGGTCACAACAGCATTATCAGGTACAGCCGGCTCAGTGCAAACCTCTGGGGCATTTTCATTTCTATGATCAACATCTACAGTCACATTTCTAACATGTTTATGACTAGAGTTCAATGGTTTCTCATCACAAGAAGGCACTTCCAATTCCTTGTTTTCAGCTAGTTTATCTGTTTTGAGTTCAGACCCACACTGATCACTTTGTGCTTCCGGAGCCTGATTTATTCCCAAAGCACCAGGATGGTCTATCCTTTTCCGCCTGGTCTTTTTAAGCTCTACTGTTCTGCTATTAACACGCTGCATCCCTTCAAAAACTATCAGAAGTTCCTCAGTATCCACAGGATCTTCCTCTGAGCTTGGAGATTGAAGCAAAGCATCAACTTTGTCTTGAACCAGCTGCTCATTAGCACGGTTTCCCTTGTGTGAACTTTGGTTATTAGTATTAGTCAGTACAATATCTTGGTCACATGGGATACCATTAGATGTTTTAGTGTCTGGACTAGACAATATGCTGGGGGAGTCTAGAAGGTCATACGTGCCTATTCTTCCTCGCGGTTTTATGGTGGTAGTGTTGGCACTGACTAAAGGTGTTTCACTGGCCTGCTCAACACTAGACCTAATCTCATCCACTGGAATTGCTATATCATAGGTTCCTTTCCGTGTTCTTGTCTTAGTTAAAGTAACTGTACCACAGTTTTTGTTGCTGTCATTACAGGGGCGAACAGGGGTTACTTTAGAATCATCTATATCTTCTATCACAGGGGAAACCTCCATAATCCCTGTCAAGAATTCCTTGAATTCTGCTGACGTGGGGCACTGAATTTTTGGACTTCCTTTACCCTCTCTGGCCTTCTCTGGTGTAGTGTACACATTTTCTTTATTTGAAAACACATTTGATGAGTCTTTTAGAGGGGTTTTTGCTCTAAAAGAACCATTAACCTTTGAAGTGGTTAGTTTGTTTCTGATATCATCTTGAATGTTTTCAGAACCAATATCAATTAGATTTGGAGGTGAAATAGGACTTAGTAGTACTAAATCTTGAGGCTCTGCTAGCCTTGTGATGAATTGGGGCGATTCAGGAACCATCAGTTGATCTGAAATCATATTCTGAATATGTGCAGCTTGGCTTGCCTGGAGGAAATAATATGAAAGATAATTCGTGGCACAAATTGAAAATAAAAAATCCCACACATTTAAGAAAAAAAAATTAGACCTAGACCCTATAATTATATATATGTAAATATGTTTAAATGTAGGCCTATATGTGTAGCCTAATGACACTAATGTGTAAACAACCTAATTATCAAATTAGGCCTATAAAAAATGTTTTTTAGGCCTAGGCCTAAATATTAAATAACTAATAAACTATCAATCCATTGGAAAGAAAATTGTCATAATTGATAATAAGTAGTAAGTTATTGTGCAGACTACTCCACTTGTTAAATTATCTAATTCATTAATCCTACATTTAATTTACTACTTACAAAGTCGTCCCAGTTGACAGGTGTTGAAGACATGGTTCTAAATTATCACAGCCAGATATAACACAAGAACTGAAATAAAAAATTTTTTATGAACATCATTTCTAGATCTGGATCTTAAGGAGTAATCTATTTAACTTCAATTTCAATACAACGAGCCTGTCAGTTAGTTGAGGCTGCCCATGGAGGCTTTCTGCTTGGGATACAACAAAGGGTCAACTCGAAATGTCAACCCTATATCTAGCTCTAAATCTCAAAAGTCTTTAAGCTTGGTCTTAGGGCTTATTTAAACTAATTTACTAAGCTTGGTCTGAGACTAGAGCTAGATCTACTATCTAGTAGTAACAGTCATTTAGTTCTGTTAAGTTACTAACTAAAGTTAGAGTTAGGTAGTCAGTCTTGCTTGATTTGTCACTTTCTAAACTTTCTTGTCTTACTCAGTCTTACTGGCTTAGATTCTAGATCTAGATCTGCTGATCTAGTACTTAACTTAGGTACTTATTTTAGTGAGACTTTTAGTCACTCTTTTTAATATTTAATATTAGTCCAGTCCTTAGTGGTAAAAAAGGTAAAAAGTCATGAGTCACTCATAGCATAGTCATTCATAGAATAGGTGAGATCTAGTCTAGTCGATCTAAAATCTAAATCTAATCTAGATCTGAGACTTTTTAAAAAATATATATAGATCTATATATATTTTTAAGACTTCAGAGTAGAGTGTCGGTGTAGACTGTAGAGAAAGAGTCTGACTGAAAATGAAATCAAGTGAAATCTGAAAGAAAGAGTAAGAATGAAGATTGACTCATCTAGATCTAATTATTATTATCTAGATTCTAGATAATCTAGATCGGGTAGATCTACTTTATTTTATTTAAGTGTAACCTAATCAACAAATTGGTTTAGATTATTATAGTCTAGATTCTAGATCTAGAAATCCATTCAACATTATTTACTTCACTGGAGCTATTTCATATTTCGTGATCCGAAATTTGATTTAACGTAAATTTAAAGTCACGTGACAATTATTTGTAAAACTGTTGGCTATCTTGTAAAAGGCAGGAATCCAACTTTTACCATTATCCTAAAAAGTGGGCTGAGTATGCTAGATGATCTATTTCTAGATCTAGATGTTAAATTGATGAGATTCAGCAATAATTTTAAAAATTGTATAAAATAGTTCAATGCAACTACAATACTAGGGATGTGAAGCTGGAAATTTGCGACGTAATTTTTTATTGGGGGGGAGGGGGGGGTATTTTTCAAATTCTTGTGTGAGATGGGATGGGGGGGGGGGGGCTGAGGTAGTAAGAATCATTTTGATTACGCTATTTTTTCATGGACAATCTAGAATGCTAGCTTGTGAGTTGGCAGGAGAAAATATTGGAAGACATAGCCTAATTAGACAAGTATAATACAAGGAGAAGAATGAAAGATGTAACGTAATTATGAGATCATATGTGGCGCAGAGGTAGATAAAAATAAAAGCCCATAAAATAATCAATAATCTCTTTTTGGAAAGTGCGATCGGAATGTCTTTCTAAGGTCAGGAGATGTGATTTCTTTATATATAAACGACATGCCAAGCAACTGACGTGAAAGGCGTCTTAATCGGAAAAGTAATAAAGAATCGGCCTGGATGTAGAGCTTTCGACTGTTAACCCGCAAGTCTCGTGTTCGGATCCCGGGCTCTAGTCTGTAGGACATCCCTGAATCCACCTAACTGATGGGTACCTGCCACATGTTAGGGAGACCAAGGGAGCTGGACATAGTACTGACCACACTTATATCCCCTCCCCTTGTACTGGCTTGTACTGAAACAAATTAACTATAGGGGCCCACTTCATCTACTTCATGTGTCTCGGGCACCAAAGGGAACAAAAGATGTTGAGATAATTTTATGTGTCGGAGTTCGTCAAAGATAACTAGCGGTGTTTCTTCCATGCATCTCTACGGAGTGGGGCGAAGAAAGTCCACCGCCCCCCCCCAATGGAATTTATATAAAAAATATATACTTTTAACAGTGTCCGCCCCACACCCCCGAAAATTTCAAGCCCCCCCCCCCCCCCCCCCCCCCCCCCGGAGAAAAAAGTCTGGAGGAAACACTGATAACTAGTTATAATCAACCCCGAAAACAAGCGTGCTGATAACTTACACGAATGGTAGAGCAATGGTTCGGCTATGGCGACAAATCTTACACCTACTATATTAAATCCCACAACCTCACACTGCAGATGGCTGAAGCCGCATTTCGCGGCTCATGGGACGGATTGAGTTAAGGAAAAGGATATTGTACATCAATGTTATCGGTTTTTAAGAAAATTGTTATAGTTTAACTACTAGATGTTTTAAATACTCAACATCCTTTTTTTCTCTTAAAGTCAACCCTTTCAACTTTCAATCACGTTATGTAGGTTATTCAAAATTGTTCTCTAATAGCCATACAGTTCAAACCGAGTAAAACATGTTTTTTCTGTCTCCTTCCCTTTTCCCCTCGGCTTTTTTCTGGATTTTACTGAGCTTTGATTTTTCAGCTCAGTCTGGACTATTTGGACTATGCTGGTGTCACTTGTACCCACATCCTAAAACATTAAAAAATATGGTATTATGTTCAGAGGCGTAGCGAAGGGGAGTGGGGGGGGGGGGGACATATGTCCCCGGGCGCCGACCTTAGGGGGGCGCCAAAATGGGTAGGAAAAACAAATTGAAAGTTTGAAGGGGGGGGGTGCAAATGAAAAGTTAGAGGGGGGTGCAAATCGAAAGTTTGAGGGGGGGGGGGTGTAGATCAAAAGTTCGAGGGGGGTGCAAATCGAAAGTTTGTCCCCGGGCGCAGGGAAGGGTCGCTACGCTTCTGATTATGTTTCAGTCATGTCGTAACTAGGCGCCTTTATTGACCAACATAATACATGCGGACCAACAAGATAGACGCCTTCGTTAGCCAACAATTAGTACTGGCCCTGACCATCTAAAAGGTGCCTTCGTTAACCAATAGTTCAGGACTGACGCCGGCCTCAAGATAGCGCTCTTATTAGCCAACAATAACATACACATGAGACCAGGTTGGCGCCTTCACTAAACATTCAAGCCTTGGCAAGATGGGCGCCTTTTTTAACCAGCAGTTTTTGCACACGCTGATCACAAGATAAGCGCATGTATTTCACTTTCATCAATTTAGTTATTTTTTTTATCGCAGACTGTTCTTTTTCCGAATAGGCGCCACTGTCCCAAAAAAAAATGCTCGCAGGGGAAGCGAACGCTTCCAAAACACCCGCTGGATACGCCGCTGATCATAATTTTTATTAATTTCCAATAAAAAAAAGCGAATACTAAAAAAAAACTACAAATTAATTTCATGTACAGTTTTGCTACACTGATTCATTACCAACCGTAGGCTTTATAGATTTAAAAAGTTTTAAATCAAGTTGGACTGACTTTCTACAAGATATTTGCTTACAAAACCGTACAAAGATCTAAATCTAGACCCTACGGCTTTCCTGGAATTTCTTCGATAGATTTCGTCCACCCTAGAAAAAACTACAAGGCAGCAGTTGCTTGTGGTAAGACTTTGTTCTTCTTAGTGGGTTGCTGTCCCCCTTTTTAAACGAGCCTCATCTGCCTGATGTCCGAACACTATAGTCTTCTGTGTTAGGGGTCATCCATAAATGACGTCACACTCGTAATTTTGTGACGATGTGTGATGAGGGGGAGGGGGGGGGGGTGTCAGATGTTGCGACGTCACATTTTTGCATTATAAAAAAGCAATGTTAGAACACGAATTTTAGACGTTATTTCGCGTTTCAGATAACTGTTTTAATAAATTGTAATAGTTTAGACAAGATTTTGGAAAAATATCGATGTTTAAAAAAAATTCAACTGCAATTTTGAGATGGGTTGTAGGTTGAGGTGTGACGTCATTTTAGGGGGGGGGGGGTCTGGCTTTTTGTGACGACGTGTGACGGAGGGGAGGGTGGTAAAAAAAAGCGTGACGTCATTTATGGATGACCCCCTTAGCAATCATGCACTTACTTGCTCGACCAAGCCGTCCCCGTACTATGACCAGTGGCGTAGGCAGGGGGGGGGGGGGGGTTAGGGGGGGTCAAAACCCCCCCATAGACCCCTCGGTATATATAAAAAGTATGAGGGGGGGGGGGTGCAAATCGAAAGTTTGAAGGGGGGGTGCAAATCGAAAGTTTGAGGGGGGGGGGGGGGGTGCAAATCGAAAGTTTGTCCCTGGGTAAAAATTGGAACCCCCCCTTGAGACGATCCTGGCTACGCCACTGACTATGACTCAGTAGGTTAAAGTTAAAGTAAACACTACAGACATTTCTTTAAAACCATATTAGTTTTTCAAACTAAATCACTAACACGTAAAAAAATAAATCAAAGTAGTTTGTATGTAACAATATGTATTTTATAAAATAAACAAAACATACTATACAGGCTGTTCAAATAAATACTATCAATTACTATATGTATAAATTGAGTTGAAAGTGGATTCCTCATAACTATAAAAGAACAACCTTCAATTCTTTGTGCTGTTGTTATTTGGTTTACCTGAAGTAAAGTATAAGATCTGATATGAATAATAAATATTGTAAAAAAAAGTTAAAAAATGTAAATACACCTCTCAGGACTGTGTCATTATTTTCCTGTTATAAATATGATACATAAATGAAAGTACAGCACAATAAATTAAAATTGTAAAAAAATATTATTTCAAAAATTGTTCAATGCCATCTCGAACTTTGCACCGTGTCGAAATAAAGTAAATACACCTGTAGCATTGCTACATGTGGTCAATTTAAATCAACTGATGCATCCATTGTAAGTAACATTTAAAATGTAAGCCTACTAATTATTTAAATCAATAAATGTGGTTAGTATGTAGTAAGTATCATTAATAATGTAGTCCTATTATCTATTTACATCAATTTATGTGTTAGTAAAATACAGGCTAACTATTTATATAAATCAATTTGTGTGTTAGTGTCTAGTAGGCCAATCATTAATAAGTTTACAATTTTTGTGGTAAAAAAAACATTCAAAAAGGCAGTAATTATTTTTTGAATTAAAAATCTTTAAAACATTTAAATAGAAAATACATACAGAGTTAGTTTTTGTGTTTGCTCCAATTATTCTTACAAATACATACATACTTTAATAAACACTTACATTTGTAGAAAATGTCAAAATAAATAAATTTATAAAATTTAGCTTTAACTTTAGAGGCAAATTATTATAATAACAGTTTTTATTTATATTTTTGTCAAAATAAATGAATTTATAAAAGTTAGGTTTAATGTTAGATGCAAATTATTATAATAACAGTTTTTATTTATATTTAATACATTTTTTTTTAACAACAACATTTTTAAAAATCCATAAAATATAGAAAGGTCTACATAATGGAGAAAATGTGTGTATACTAACAAATCAAACTAATATATATTTACAAAATCACTTGACAAGTGGTGTATAGAAGTGAGATTGTATGTAAATAGGCCTATAGCATGGAACAGAAAATTATATATATATATATATATATATATATATATATATATATATATATATATATATATATATATATATATATATATATATTAATTTCATTGCTCATTATTTCCTCCTATCACAATCACATCTCCATGTTGAACTGTTATAAATGAAGAGGGAGACAACTCTAGTTTTTTTACTTCCTCAGCAAGCTTTTGTTTAGGTTCCAGATAAAACTGAAATTTGGAAAAAATTAAATTTGAAAACTTCATAATGAGGCTCTTTTTAGTTTTCTAGACTGGTGATTAAAACATGTTATTAATTTTATTCTCCTTTAAAAAATAGGGAAAAATCTGTATTTTATTTTAAAGGGGGAGGGTAAGGAAATTATCTACTTCTGAGTACATAAAAAAGATTAAATGACAGTTTTGTTATAATGCTGGGCACTTTATGACATACTAGCACATCCATATTAAATTACAAACTACCATTTAGTGAGTTAAAACCAAATCTTCATAACAACATTAATGGTCCAACATAAAGTGAATATTCATTTGTTTATGTTATGCTAATGTTTGCTCTTCATTACGACAATAATATTCCAACATAACACAATATTGAATTGCTTATGTTATACCTATATTTGCATGATTGAACTTTACTAGATTTATTATATTTCAGTTATTCTGCTTCATCCTTATTATTTCTTAACTGAAAGAATGATATAATAAGACCAACATCGTGGACTATCTACATGCTGTCTCCAGATTTTCAAGCTCACTAAACAATTTTTCTCTAAGTGGGGTGCACTGGGACCAGAGTCCAGACAGCTTATAATGGCACAGCTTCAGTCTTGTAAGACATGGTAGGTGTTCTTTGTGACCATACCACTAGGTCAAGTTAAATATGTTGGTTTGAAATGACAAATACAACATCTACAAACACCCCAGAGTGGGTTTAAATAATTTACGATTACATCAACATATTTGATGTGTAGACTTTAGTGTGAATTGTCTGTAAAAACTCTATTATGAAACAATAAGTTTAATTCATTTACAATCAGAACATTTCTTATTGCATGTGTTGTTGTCTAAGTGAAACCTCGTACTTCTTTTGATAGCCTAAAAGTCCCCCAGTGTATACCAACAGAAGTCTGAGATTTGATATCCATGTGAATTTTAACTGCTTCTTCTGGGTCAACATGTTGAGGAGCTAGAAACCACCTAGATAATTACAAGAGAGAAAAAAATATGACAGAAAGAATACATAGATTTATGATACAAATTGATAGTGTATATTCAAATATTTTGGACTATGGGTCTTTTGCTACAATATTTATTTTTATTCTTGAAAAAATGTACAATTCATGTTCATAAAGACTAATCAATGATTGTTGAAAGATGATTAAGGATGAATTTGACAAATATGACTAAATTGATTGTAGAATAAGTATCAACTGTATTATAAAAACACATTATTTTTATACTTTTTTTCAAAGTTTGGTGTAAATGAAAGTTAAATAATCTGAATTTAATATAATAAAACATAATTTTTATGAGAACTATTCATTTTAACTTCATAAAATATAAATTTTTAGCACTACCTTGGATTGTATGCTCCAATGGGGATAGTTGACAATGTGAAAGGGCCGTAACGTTTGCCGATTTGTTTAAAACCTGCGCAGTAGCCTGTGTCTCCAGCAAAATAAAATTTATGCTTTGGTCCTATAACACACCAACTGGTCCACAGGACCTGAAAAATAGTTAGCAATGTAAAAATAAGAAAAACATGTAATATACATAAAAGAATAACATAAAAAAATATTTCATGCGTAAAAACTACTAAAACAGTTTTAGTGGTCAGCTTTTACAAAACTTGATTGTCGTTAAGCCTGCAAAGTGCAAATTAAAGTCAAGTTTGCAAATTATTAAGTTAATTTGTAAGGATAGCAAAATAAATTATACCCCATTTTGTTGATATTTTTTTTTTATCATGTTAACAGTGGATATTTTTTTTTTACGATTGCTGGTAAAGAAGTATTAATTTTGTAACACCTATATAATACTAAGTCTAGAAGTTTCAGGCATATTGTATTTTTGTGGCAACAAATAAGGCTGTAGGATAGAGTGTAACATACATATATAATACTGCATTATATCATATATCCAGTTAATATTGATACAAGCTAAGTAAAAATTACATGTATGGTTAGCAATTATAGAAATAACTAAAAACTCAAAACATCTGCTGAGAGTAAAAACAACAACATTAAATGTTTTACAAACCTTATTTGTGTCATTTAGAGAACGCTTACACCAGTGCTGGCAAGGAGTGCTGACTATTCTGATTTCTGATTGGTCACTGTGGATGTGTTCTTGCCACCAGGACAGCTCCACAACATTAGTACAGCCGGTGTTACTCATCCAGGTTTTAAGGCCTTTTGGTACATACCATCTTAGCTTGTCACCAAATCTAAAAATAGATTACACACAATATTGATGGTTTAAATACTCCTAACAGGCAATGCATATATCCTTATTCTGTTCTTAAAATTTAATGAATAGCAATTTAAAAAAAAAACAATTTTAATTTTAATTTACGTGTTGATAAAATAAATGTTATTGCTAAAAAAAACATTATAGTTTATAGCAGCAAACGAGATGGAACAGTCTCTCTGATGGATAGATTTCATTTTGAAAGGACAGATAACCTTATGGCTGAGCAAGCCAAGGGCATGCTAGAAATTCAAACTTGTCACTCACATTCTCATTCAAAGAGATATGCCTAGAGAGGAAGAGAGGGGACTGCTAGGCACGCTTACAGCTTGTTTTCTAGTGTCTCCCAGAAGAGAATTACATATATAGATAGATAATAGCAGGATACAATGTGGGGAGGCAGACAAATAGTTCAATAGTTTAAAAGGGAAGGAGACGGTAAAAAAAACTGTTTTAATACTCGTTAGGAAACAAATAATTTAACTATTTTTTTACATAAAAAGTAAATAATTTGAACCTTCTGTTTAATGCCAGCACCGTCCCATAGTCCAAATGATCGTAGTGGTTATGGCTTATGAGAACACAGTCAATGTTTGGTAGCTGGTCCACTGTACATGGGGTTGGCCTGTATCTTTTCTCTCCAAGCCATTGGAAGGGAGAGCACCTGTCACTGAAGATGGGATCTGTCAGCAAGGTGATGCCATCAAGTTGAACAAGCGAGGTTGCATGACCGACCCACATGTGGCGAACTCCCGATGTAGGTGATGATGCAAACTTCGAGAAGTCTGGCTTAATCACGGGCAGTGTTTTATCTAATTCCTAAAAATAGATGTTAATTAAGTAATGTAATAATTTTTTTTTACTTGAATTTGTATTTGGAGATATTCTTGTTTTTAATAAAATCAAAGCTGTAAATAATAAATAGGCCTTTAGTTTTTCAAATCTTGTCTGAACTCTGTCAACATGGAGTATGAATGTGTATCTTAAACAGTTTCTATAACAATTTATTAGAACAGATTTCCAAACGTGAAATAACAGCTAAATCTTGTTTTCTAACATTGCTTTTTTATAATGCAATATTGTCACATCATCTGACCCCCCCCCCCACCCCTCTTCACACCCTGTTACAAAATTACAGACCCCCCTTTCCCCCTGCGAGTGTGACATTTATGGACAATCCCCTAGGCCTAAATAAGTTTCTATATATAATTCTCTTCTGGGAGACGCTAGAAAACAAGCTGTAAGCGCGCTCCCTACCGCCCCCACCCCTACATGGTCTGGTGAGCTTTGGTTCAAGCTAAATGTTTACATTCGTGAAGCGGGGTTTTTTGGTGAAGGCTATTAGGGGAAGATAATTTAGTTTGAAACGATTTTTTTAAACTTAGGGGAGGTAACTAAGAGGAGGCTGCTTTCACAGGGCGGGGGAGGGGGGGGTGTAGGGTAGGGGTTGGGGGAAAGGAGGGTTGGGGGAAAGGAGGGTGGGGGTAGTATCGTCCTTAATGACCTACTGATAGTGTTTTAAAGGAAATATTTTTAGTGACAGCATTGGTACTGTCGAATTCACAAATTATGAATTACTGAAAAGTAGAAAATAAAACAACTAAATAGCGGCGTATGATATATCGCGGGTCGGCTCGTCATAATTATTTAATTACTTCTAGGGCCTATAGGTCAACTAATAGGCCTAGTTACTTAGATTATATATAATATAGGCCTATATATAATAAAAGCCACTATTAAATCATGTACATAAGCCTCTTGTATAGGCTTGGGCCTACTAACTTACAGTAGTAATTAGTGAATTAGGGGCCAGTACTAATTAATTAAATAAAGCTAATAGTAGTAATAGGCCTAGGGCCTAGATCTAGGCCTTTAATACTAATACTAATACTAATACTAGAATTATAGCCAGAGGCGTAGCGAGGGGGGTGCGTACCGCACCGGGTGACACCATTTAGGGGGGGTGACACCAAGGCTAAAAAATATCAAAATATATAGAGAAAAATTTGAGGGGGGGGGGATGGGGGTGCAAATCAGTAGTTTGAGGGGGTGCAAATCGAAAGTTTGAAGGGGGGGGGGGGTTGCAAATCGAAAATTGAAAGTTTGTCCCCGGGAAGGGTCGCAAAGCCTGTGGGGGGGGGGGGGGGGTGACACCATTAAGTGCTGCACCGTTTGACACCCGACCTCGCTACACCACTGATTATCCATAATAAAATTAAATACAAAATAGCCTAGGCTTAAATAAATTGTAAATAGGCCTAATAATTTAATAAATATTTAATAAAATTTAAATCTAGACCTAGATCTAGATCTAATTGTTTTATTTACTGTAACTTGCCTCTTTGCTTGGTATGTTTGCTTCACTTGACATAAACATAAATTTTAACAACTTGCTCAGTTGGGGTTCTTGCCATGTTTCCCATGGATTATGGAAGATGCCTTTGCTTTCTACTGGCTGCACTAGATCTAGATCTAGATCTTCTGCTGTCGTATCCATGGTCTTACTGTAGTCTTACTAAACTAGAATTTATTAGTAAATTTCAACAGTCAGTACAGTGTACACTGACATTGTAGATCTAGATCTATTTTACTTTTTTCGCTGACTCATTGCACACCTGACAATCAATTCTTATTCTGCATGATTGAGTGTGAGAATGTGTACTAAACACCTGACCTACATTTCGTCATTTTGATCTAGATCTAGATCTAGATCTAGATCTAGATCTACATCAGCACTTAAGGTTAATTTGTTTAATTGTTTAAATTAAATGAATTTCCTTGCAAATCAAATTCGGTTGTTTTCGGCAAATCCAGAAAGTATGTATGACCTCAACGAAATCGATCCTGAACTGTTGTATATTTGTGATGATCTAAAATAAACGTTGAGCAGAAAGTTGCGTGTACCGTACTATGGTACAGGTACTATTATTTAACGGTGAATGTTTAGGAAGGGCAATAACTCACAAATTAACAATTTGTTATTTTCAACGTTGGTACAAAGTTATGTACCTTATTGCTTGGAGATAACATATTTACACCGCAAGGGGGAATTAAGCATAGCATAGCCTACCCTACCCTGTAAAAAAGGTATGCTTTCTAACCTTATGGTCCATGGGACAGGTGAAGTTCAGTTCACATGTTCCAGTTACCTTGGCATATGCAGAGATAGTGTGGTCAGCATTACGCCTAGACACCTTTGGTTTCCCTAACATGAGCCAAGTACCCATCAGAGCTGAGCAGACTCAGGGAGGATGTCATTGTCATACAGACCATCTAATATCCTATATATAACCCTATCCTAACCATCTAACTCACACTAACACAATATCTATCCCTAACCATCTCCCTCTTCCTATATTTCTTCTTATCATTAACCCTGATCAGTGGTGTACAGAGGGTTGGGGAAGGATGTGTGTGAACTAGAGCAATTATATATAAACAATGATTTTGTTAAAGTATCTAGAATTTGATAGTTCTATTTTATGCATGAAATGTAAAGGATCATTGGTGGGGTATGGAGAATATGGAGTTGGACTGAGGGGAAAATATGTCTTACACCATGAATCATCATCTTGTTTGTCTGTCATCTGTCATGGTGCAATCTTACGATAAAAAAATCCTGACGCTTAAAGAACTGATTTTTAAAAAAAGAATTATAAAGTTGGTAATGTAATTTTACCCCCAAAGACAATGAAAGGAACATTAACATCGACATAATTTGATGTTTATGTAAAAATAATTTTACAATGCAATGCAACATTAGCATTGAGATCATTTGAGATTTAAAAAAAAAAAATTTCAATGAAATTTTTTGAAAATGCTGTAAATTAAGTTGAGTTTTTTTGTACAAAAACATCTAGAAAAATGTTGTACACAATACACATTAAGTTTGCATTACTATAAATTAGTATAAATATTGTGTTCATTACACAAGCTCTTTATTTTTTATATACATATAATACTGATAAATTGGTAGAAAATGTAAAAAAAAACTATCAATATCGGTTCAAGTTTGGAGGTCATTAAACAATTGTAAGTTTTACATAATATCTATCACAATACTTAAATAAATGCAAGATTTTTTTTTTAAATTCATAAAATAATAGACTCTTAATGGAGGACAAATTGTATACATTTTTTAAAAAGCTAATCTATTAATACAAAAAGTGGTGTGTAAAAATCAGGCTGTAGTTAAAATATAACATGGAATGAATAAGTTCATGTGGTTTTAGTTTTTCTGTCTTTAGTGTTCATCACTGCCCCCTATCACAATCACTTCTCCATGGTGAACAGTTATGAATGAAGAGGGAGACAAATCTTGTTTCTCTACCTCCTCTGCCAGCTTTTGCCTAGGTTCTAGATAAAACTGAAATTTGAAAAGAAAAAGGATATAGTTAAAGTTTATTTCATATTGAGCCTTTTTTTTTAATTTTTACACTTGCAGAGGCCTAATTATAAATAGGATTTTCATTTAATTTGAAACTAGGGGAAATAACATGTAAATTATTTTAAACTTGGTGTGCAGGTTAGGTGGGAGGGTGGGGGGGGGGGGCAGAAGCAAAGAAGAGTTATGATCTTGTTCTCTTTTATGTGTCATTCACAGTAATCAAATTTTGAGATGACATCAAGTGACTTTTGAAATTGAGCTGGGATTACAAAGGCATGAAACAACAGTTTTATGCTGGGAAGATTATGACATACTGGAACATTCAAACTAAATAATAAGTAAGTGTTAAATCATCTTTTCCCATTCATACCTAATACACATGGGGCAGATAAAGTAGAGTTCATCTGTTACAGGGACCTCAGTACATAAAAGGGTGTGGTCAGCACTATGCCAGGCTGCCTCTGTGGACTCAGGGACATTCCGGATATTTGAAATCAAGACTTTTGGGTAGCAGTGGAACACTCTACAATTTGACCACACTGTACAATTTCCTATAACCAACCCTACCCTAACCATCTGATTTCACAGACATCAGGTTATCATTGCAATAGTAATGTTCTAACATAAAAAAATAATTCATTTGTTCTCATGTTTCACAAGCTTCCAATAATCAATATTCAATAAGCACAACATCTATAAACACTATAATGAAAAGTTAAGTTTAAATAATTTATAATCACAACATTTCTATTTCATGTGTTGAAGTGAAACCTCTTACTTCTTTTGATAGCTTGAATGTCCCCCAGTGTATACCAATAGAAGTCTGAGATTTGATATCCATGTGAATTTTTACTGCTTCTTCTGGGTCCACATGTTGAGGAGCTAGAAACCACCTAATAAAGAAGGAATGTATTTGTTAAACATGTGTATAATCTTTTAAGATGACATAAAGTAAAGTTTACATACCAATATTTGAATGTTAATGTACAATTTTGCATTGTGCACAGTAAAACTCCTCGGCATATAGTTAATTTATATTTTTGGGTGGTTATACATTGTAACTTGAAAGAATAAGTGGTTAACATTTTAAAGCTGGGGTGGACAATTGTTTTGGGTCGAGGGCTACTTTGTGGTAGCTGATTTTAGTGGAGGGCCGCACCGTTTAATATATTGTATTCTTTAGTTAACATTACATTTCATCTCAGAAAAATTATAAATGGTATCATAAAAATAAATAAATAAAACTTAAACAATAGTGGTAGTTTTATTAAATTTATTAATTATTATTAATGTCATATTATCTAGATTTCTAGCTGTTAGCACAGTTAATTAAAGAATCAATTTAGTGAGACTAGTGCACCCTATCACACGATTTTACATTTTAAAAAAAATCAGGAGTGAAGTTGCTTGTTGAGATTCTCATCATTGCCTGCAAGTTTATGTCTGACAAAGAGCATCTGTATTTACAATTTGTTTTATGCCACGGACATGAAACAAATCTCAGTTCAAGGTGGGGTTTTCTGAATGTTTTGTGGGCCACAAAAACTCTGTGGCGGGCCGCACTTTGGGTGAACGGAAAAAAAGTCACAGGAAAAAAAAACACAGAAAAAAAGTCACAGTTTTTGCTAGGAAAAAAAGTCACAGAAAAAAAGTCACAGTGGAAACATTTTATCGGAAAAAAAGTCACAGAAATAAAGTCACAGAAAAAAAGTCACACACATCTTTTTAGAAATATTTTTATTAATTTGTTAAGAATTGTAAAATTTTGTATGTTTATTGTTGTGGGTTGTATTTTTCGATAGCATAAATTATTTATAGACGTTAAAAGCATTTGTAAACAATTGTAAGTAAAAATACTCTAAGATAATTAACACAACAATCTCAACTTTGTTACGTATTTAGTTAAAAACGCGGTAGAAAAGTTAATTATAAAAGAAATTTAGGCACATTTTGCCGTAGAGTATTCATTGGTCGGCCTCTCCTCAGTAGGCATTGTCCGAACATATTTTGTGTTGTTGACGTTATGCGTCAATGACAGCCTTTGAACCTTGTCGGCTTTCTGTTTTGATCCTAAGTTTTGTTATGTAATGAGCGTGATAAATGTGGGCAGTAAAGGTGGTTGAACTAATCATAACTATTGTTGCAATGAGTTGAGGGCAGCAAGTCAGATGAACTTACCATTTCACGGTAATTTAATGTTGGTAATTTAAAAAAAAAACACAATGAAAAACGTGGACTTTGGAGAATCCTATTAAATGCTACTAATCTTAAGTTTAAAATAATTACAATCTACATACTTCATAATAAATATTTTTAGATGAATTATAAAAATTCCTAAGCGTATACAGCCTACACACATTACATTACATTTAATTAATCCTAAGTTAATTTGCACTCTCTAAATATTTAATACATAAAAGTATTAACAAATATCATGCAAATATATATTTGTGACTTTTTTTCCTGTGACTTTTTTTCCTGTGACTTTTTTCCTGTGACTTTTTTCTGTGTTTTTTTTCCTGTTTTTTTTTCCTGTGACTTTTTTTCCTACAGTCGCACTTTGCACACCCTTGTTTTAAAGTATGTGGTAAGTGAACATTTAATAACCTAATTTTAAATAACTTTCACTAGATCTACTAATTTTAACTTAAGAGAATATTAATTACCGTGGATTGTACGCTCCGATTGGGATAGTTGATAATGTAAAAGGGCCGTAGCGTTTGCCGATTTGTTTGAAACCTGAGTAGTAGCCTGTGTCTCCAGCAAAATAAAATTTGTGCTTTGGTCCTATCACACACCAACTGGTCCACAGAACCTGAACATAGACGGTAACGGAAAATTTATATAGGAACAAACAGGGTTACACACTTAACAGTATTTGCACTTAAAATTATGTTATCACAAACAAGTATTTATAGTTGTCAGCTTTCTAAAATAAATGGATTTTAGTTGAGCCTTTGATTAAGTTGCATATTTTAAAGATGCTTTGTGAGGACTGCAGAAAAATTTATTAATTATTTCTTGATATTTTTTTGTAGCTTTAAAAATAAAAAGTAATTGGTATTTTTGAGACTGCTGGTAAAGGAAAGTTGGGTTCAGACATTTGTTTGGATGTTGTAGGTGGATTGGGGAAGGTACATTCAGGAAATGTAATTGCATTTGTTTTAAAAATAATATTTAAGGACACAAATAATAAATAAATCATGTATTTGTAAGCTTACATAAGAATTATGGTTATTTCAGAGTGAAGTGCAGTGTAATTTTAAGTGGGGGTAGAGTAAAGGTTTATTGATTGTGGGCGCTTATGTCAATGGGCTGAGGATGGTGGGTAAAAATTATCTAAAACTGCATGAAGCTGTTTAACAATAACAAGCTGAATATAAAACTATACGAATTTGCACAAGTGATAGAAAAAATCCCAAAATTATGCACATCTAATATTGTGTTTAAATAAAAATAACAACATTGAGAAACCTTGTCTATGTCATTTAGAGAACGTTGACTCCAGTGCTGGCAAGGAGTGCTGACTATTCTGATTTCTGATTGGTAGGCCTACTCTTTTGTAGGTAGGCCTACTATTTTGTAGGTTGGCCTACTAGTTTGCAAGTAGGCCTACTATTTTGTAGGTAGGCCTACTATTTTGTAGGTTGGCCTACTATTTTGTAGGTAGGCCTACTATTTTGTAGGTAGGCCTACTATTAGACCGCAAACTACCGACCTAGCACAGAGCAAATTCCGTAGTAAAAAAAAATTCGCGGTGCTGTATTAACACTTCGAGTTAGAGATTTCCTACTTTATTGATAGACTTAGTCGGCCAACCAGATTTTCGTTTTAAATATTGCACTAAGGTTGAAAGAATTTTGGAAGGAGGGGGTATAGATTTTAAAAATCGATTAATACAAAACATAACATTACATTGCCTACATTTCTTTTCAATTTCGAAAGATTGAAACTGAACGGCATAAAGAGCAGCTGTGGGGGGTGGGGGGGGGATGAAAATGTATGGCCCTCCGGTACACGTAGTGTGAAATTACGTGGGTCTTTC